CAATTAAAGACCCTTGCGTAGACACAAGTGGGCAGGAAGAGCTGTCCCAGAAGGGTCAGTTTTGCTAAGAGAGGCCTGCATGGTTGCAGGTGGGCGACCTTGACAGGTCATGGGCAGCCAGGAGGCTGCTGCCCTGCAGAGAGAGAGATTTGGTGAAAAGAGGGACCGGCATACTGACAGGTGGGCAGAGGGATTGCTGCCCCAGCCTGTGCAGAGACTGTACTCTCTGTTTGGGAGGGGTCACTCCTTGTGAGGTGTCAGTTGGTTGCTAATTTTGGATAACTATGTAGAATCTGAAAGGGACCAGTGATTCTGCATGGACTCAATCTCCATATCTTTAGACTGAACCTCAGGATACTAGTGTTGACAGTTATGCTAATCCCTTCTGCCCCCACCTCCTTGTGTGAGCCAGGTTTCTGGTCTTGTGGTGCTTCCTTTTTAGTTTTTTTTTTTTTTTTTTCTATTCTTGTCCTCCATTAGTTACCATTGAAATCCAGAAACTGACTTATGATGCTACAGGAATTTGTTACACAAATGATGGATTGTTGAAGCAATTCTTGGAAACTGTACAGAAAAAAGAATAGCTTATTAATGTCATTTGAAAAAATAAAGTTACACTTATAAGATACTACATAAAGATAAGATCTTTTAACACTCTGAGTGGAATAGTATGGACAATGTAATCCACATTGTTGTACAATTATGTAATACATATTATTGTACATGATAACACAAACTACCATCCTAAGTGCTTTACAGGTATGAAACATGGAATTCCCACCATCCTCTGGGAAGGGAACCATACTATCCCCTTACAGATGATAAATGAGGCTTAGTGAGAGTAGGAAGTAAGCAGTTCACCTAGGTCACACAGTGGCATCTGGCTCCAGGATCCCTGGGGTTCATCCCTCCAAAGTGTACAGATGCTGTGTTACCCTAACACTTGGAGGCCTGATATGACCGCCATTTTCTCTTGCTCAAGGTTTTGTAGATTCAAAAGGGAGCAACTGGCCAGTCTTTACTTGTGGGCTGCGTCACCAGGGTTCAGTAGGGCTGGACATCTCCTGTGGTCCATTCACCTGGCTGGTAGGTAAGGTAAGCTCTGACTGGGAGTTGAGCTAGGACTCTAAACTGGGTACCTGCAGTTTGCCTCTCCAGCATGGCAGACTTGGGGTAGTTGGGCTCCTTGTGCTGCTTCCACAGTGCCAGTGTCCAAGAGAGTTTAGCAGAGTCCCTGGGGCCTTCTCTTACCCTGACTTGGAGGTCACAGGGTCACTTTCTGGCACTTTTGGGTTGGAGCAGTCACAAGCCCACTCTGAGTCAAGGTGAGTGCAAGGTGAGTTCTTAGTACAAGGTGACTATCAGGACCATGTTTGAAACCAATGTAATATAATTAGATCAATGAAAAAATACATAAAATATTCAGTCAGGTACTGTGTTAAATCTATTTAAATGATTTTATATGAGTGATGTACTTTGGTTTACATTTATTTATTTATCTATCTATCTATTTATCTATTTATTTATTTATTTTAAAGGTTTATTTTTTTATTTTTATACAAGAGCTGGGTTACAAGCCAGAGACGTGGGACGGTGAGAAGATTCACTGGAGACAGAGCTGGGAGCAGAACAGGCAGACGGACAGATAGACACTGCTGAGGGGAGCAGCGGGTGTGACAGGAAAGGTCTGCCGTGCCATGTGGGATTCTCCCTGGCTGGCCGGAATCGAACCTGTGCTACAGAGGTTGCGGACAGCTTCATAGTGCTGCGCTCAACCTGCTACGCCACAAGGGAGGCCCACTTTGTTTTACGTTTAAAATAAAGATGAAGTAAAACATGCAATAAAAGTTGCAGGCGCAGTGCTTACTCCCTAGACCCTGATCTCATCATGCCTGTACACACTGCCTGCCCCAATGCCCCAGGGTCACCTGAGAGCTGCTGGGAACCTGGGTGAGAGGCAACAACCTGAGATCCCACAATGTGGGCTGTGGAACATGAGGACTGGGTAGGGGCAGGAGGGAAATATGTGGGAGCCGCAGGTAAGCTGGGCTACATACCCAAATCCACCCCCTCCTGCAACTTCCACCAGAAGTGGAGTGTCCATCTGCAAAGTGATACTTTTACAAGGACTGTTTCATTGCAGTGCTGGCTGCTTGTATAAAACCAAGATTTTGGGGAGCCTTCCTGGTGGCACAGGGTGCTAAAGTGTCGGGTCTATCAAGCTATCACCAGCCACTGCAGCATGAGTTCTATCCCTGGCCAGGGATCTAACCCATATAAGGCGCAGCAGACCTCCCTCAGCAGTGTATTTCAGTAGATACAACTGTTCTGCTCCCCGTTCTGTCTCTGGTGAATCCTCTCACCACCACCACCCCCTGCCCCAGCACTTCTAACCTATACCCCAGTTCTTGTACGCATAAATAAATAAAAATAAAATCTTGAAACACACAAAAAACCCCAAGATTTTTCACCCAGACAGGAAAAAGTCCTAAAAGGAAGTCATCCCATGTCACTTCTATGCTGGCTGCTCTGGGGGGGCACCTCCTCCCTAACACGAAGTGTGTATCCCCAACTCTGTGCACCCCCTGAAAGTTACAAGCTCACATCAGCTCACACAAGCTCAAGGTCTTGTGGGTGGTGACTTACTTTTCTAATTCCAAAGTAGTCTAGTTAAATAAAGCCTTGGAGAAGGCTCTGCTACAGCAGGTTGAGTGAGATAAGAAAGGCATGAAATAATCAGGAAATGCAAATCAAAACCACAATGAGATACCACCTTACACCAGTGAGAATGGCACATATTACAAAAAAAAAAAAAACAAAAAACCAAAAAACTAACAACAACAAATGGTGAGGATGTGGAGATAAAGGAACTCTCCTACACTGCTGGTGGGAGTGCGAACTGGTCCAACCCCTATGGAAAGCTGTGTGGAGGTTCCTCAAAGTACTAAAAATTGACCTGCCATATGACCCAGCAATTCCACTCCTAGGAATATAGCCAAAGGACACAAAAACACTAATTCCAAAGGATACCTGCACCCCTATATTTATTGCAATACTATTTATAATAAAGATATGGATCAAGAAGATGTGGTATATATACAAAATGGAATACTATTCAGCAATCAAAAAAAAACAACTTCAAGCCATTCACAGCAACAAGGATGGAGTGAGAAGGGATTATGCTCAGTGAAATAAGTCAGAGGAAAAAGAAAAATATCAGATAGTTTCACTTATAGGATGAATATAGGGAAACCAAATAAGGGATCAGGAAATAAAAATAACAAAAAAAAATTAAAAAAAAAATTTAGCAGGCAACTATAAATCAGACATTCTGCAAGGGAGTAGGAGATAGAGGAATCAAACTAGGGGAGGGCCTCCCTGGTGGTGCAAGGGGTTAAGACACAACCTATGGGGCTGTCTGCAGCCACTGAAGCATAAGTTCGATCCCCAGCCAGGGAGCTACCCACATGGCACAGCAGACCTCTTCTGACTCCCCCGCTGCTCCCCTCAGCAGTGTATTTCAGTCATGGAGTGACTATTCTGTTCCCCACTCTCTCTGGTAAATCCTCTCACCCTCCACACCGCTGGCCTGTACCTCAGTTCTTGTATGCATAAATAAATCTTTAAAAACAAAAACAAAAAAACAGGGAGAGTGGGGCCTCCTAGGTAGTGCAGGCATAGTGTCAGCACTAGGGAGAGAAGAGCACAAGGGACTATGGTGATGGTTCACAGGTCAATCAGTGCTGGGAATTTTACGGGGACTGCACCTGAGATGAGAAAGCATATAAGCAAGCATTGTACAAAAATGAACAATAATGTAAAATGTATATATATATACTTATACACACACACACACACACACACACACACACACACATATATATATGTGGAATTAAAACTGGGGGAGCTCAGCTGGTCACCAGGGAAGAGATGCCAGAAAGGGACCATCTCCACCCTCTCCCGGAGTTCCAGTTTCTGGCTTTGTCAGGTACAGCAGCAGCTCCTGGACTACTGGATCTTGAAGCCAGCTGGGAGATTCCCCAATGTCATTTCACCTTTCATGTTCATCTACTGAAGTGAGGCAGATATTGGGGAACACAGAATCTACAGCACCAGTATAAAGGAAGCTGGGAAATAGAAATTCAGTGCAAGGAGGGGTGCCTGTGTTGCATTATCTTTTGCTTAGGCCTAGTTTCCTACTTTGGGGCACTCAAGTACCTACTATTCATTGGAATAATGGGGACACAGACTGGTGATTTTCATCATTAAAAAATCCTTAGGCAAAGACGAAAGTCCACTCTACGGCAGCCATGCATGCTTTAAGTTCTACATCCTTCACGTGAGCCTCTACATAGGACCGGTTGAAATGGGAGACCAGAAAAGGGCTGGCAGGGTGAAAACTATAGACCTCCTTTCCTGGAAGGTACTGGAGAAAGGGTTGCTTTCATTTAATTTCTCCCTTGACTTTCCTCCTCAGAGGTGTCTGAAGTGTTTTATGACAAGTAGAATAAAATAGATACAACATTAGTGTCAAGACACTTGATGGCAAGTCAGTCTTGGGCATCTGACCCACTGGGCTTACGAGGCTGGAATCTAGTGCTTGGCAGAGGCCTGTGAGGGTGTCCGGGCTTGGGCTCTGTCTGTTACTGCTCCAGCTCATCCTTTGCTCATGGTCTGACTTTTCCAATAAAGCAGCCAAGCTCCAGGGCCAGCAGCCAAGGCCCCTCCCTCTCCCTTATCCTATTAAAGGGAGCCAGTGCCATTGGAGCCTGGTTCCCAGCCCTGCTCCCTGACCCAGATACAGCCCATCCTGAGAAGGGGCAGAGCACTCCGTGATGTGCTGCACTCCGTGATTTGCCACACTCCGTGATGTGCCCCAACCCGTGAGTGTGCGGCTGTGCCAGCTGGCCCTCCACTGGTCTGTCCCCCAGAGCCAGGGAACAAGTAGCTCTCAGTACAGTAACTCCATAAATCCTGCTCACGTACACAGTGCCCAGACAATGAACCACTCAAGGAGCTAAAGTTATTACTCTTTTATTGAGCACGTGCACTCACTGTGCACTGGGGCATGTGGAAAGCAACTAAAAGAAAGAAATGAGTTAGAGCCATTTAGTTGTTCAAAAAATGCCCTGAAGCCTCTTATGTGTGTCCTGCAGCCAATGCACTTAGGGGACTCCAATAGGGGTATCACCCATCTAAGGTTTAGGAGTTCTGCTGGGGGGGTGGGGGTGGTCAGCGTGGCCCGGCCTGTCGCATAGTCTTCTAAGCACTCTGGCAGCTGGACTTCACCAGGGAGATTGAGCCCAGCCAGGGGACATAGTATATCTGGAAAGAGCAGAGTGATTTCTGCAAAAGGAAGAGAGGGATAGTCATTTAGGGTTATAATAAAAAAGGAAAATGTCACAAGTGCAGGTGAGGAATGGTGGTGGGACACTCTGACCCACCCCTGCCACCCCCAAGAACACTAAGCAGTATTCTGTAGGGAACCTCTCAATTGTTCCTCCTGGGCTCCAAGTCCAAGAGCCGGTGTTTGCACCCACCCATAGGCCCCACAGGGTCCCACTCTCCCACTCCCAGCACACTCCTTTAATGGGTAGCCTATGCAAGGCCACAAAGCCCCAGCATGTAGGACTATGGGAAGGGCTTGCCACTCCAAGTGCCCCCCATATCCAAGGGGTCAAAGACAAGAGGCCCAGAAGGAAAGGCACAGGCACAGGTCTCAGGTTCAGGGAAATATTCCCCTCACATGTGGGAAGGGGCTGACAGAGCAGTAGAGCTCTCCCTAGAGGCCGAGACCTCACAAGAACCAGCCAAGCCTCAGCCAAGACCCCAGGGAGAGTCTGGTATTTGGCATTTGGGGCAGCATCAAAGGGTTTTGGCTGTTACAGGCCTCTAATTCCCTTGTAATCTGTCCAGGTTTTTGAAACTCGGATTAAATGGCTCCCCAGCAACTACCCCATAACAATCCTCAAAGCACCCAGTGCCCCAATTGCCCAGCTAAAACCCCCTTACAATTCAAATTAGTCACTTGTATACACAGGCACCCCACACTCCCGCAAGGTAGATGCCCAGCCTCCAGTAGATACGTACCCTCAGGTTCCGCTGGTCATGGAAAGGACAACTTTCCAAGTTGGACTGGGACTTGGTGCACGTGGTTCTACCCATTTCCACATCCAAGTAGTAGTTCAAGCCGGACACGACCTGTGCATGTGGAGGAAAGATGCTCTTACAGCACTGGCTACCTCACAGCCACCCTGGCTAGCACACATCTGGGCTGGCATTCGCGGCTGCCAGGGGAGGGCCTGCAAGCATGATGCCACCCCATGCCAACCTGCAAAAGTGCCGAGCCCCAGGCCCTCCTTGTCACTGGATCATGGAGCAGAGTGGCTCCGACAAGCATCTCGTTCAGGCAGGACAAGTAGCAGCAAAGTAAAAGGTGGGAAGTCAGGCACCAAAATTCATTAACCTGGTCCAGGAGAGGGTGCAGTTCTGAGGGGCCAGTCAGGGTTGGCAACTCAACTGCATCGATTTCAGAAGCCAGGCAAAGATTAATGCACAGTAACGGCTCTGCTGAGAAATCCTTGGAGCCACTCCAGCAAGACTGGTCTGATGATGCCATTTAAGCTAAGTTTCAGTCATGAGCATCCCAGACCCCCAAGTAACCCATTATGTTCATTTCCTCACTTAGCAGGAAATGAGATGCTCACATACAATGTTTTAGGCCAGTTAAAGACCACCTTGCAGTATCTGCCTTCTGTCATTTTTGATGGGGATGTTTCTTAAGTGTGCCATGCACCTGCGTGCATCACAGAATAAAAACTAACCCTGTCCTCAAGGAGGGCAACCTACAGACAAGTCTTTTAAGAACCAGGAGAAGCACGGGGTGAGGAGGCAGGGATCAAGCTCCAGACCCTGCCACAAACAAGTCCTGATACCTCTGAAACCAGTTTTCCCAAAGGCCTGATGAAATGGAATGCTCTGGTCTTCACAGCAAGCTAGGCTAGAGGGGGCCTGTTGACCAGGGAGTGCAAGTCCTGTCCTAAGAGGCGAGCACCAGCTGACTGGCAGGAGAAACGAGTCTGCCCTTGACCCTCTCATAAGTTTTAGGAGAAGGCAGGAGACAAAGTCAAGGCACTGGAGAGACCACTCTTATTGCTGTGTCTGCTCTCTAATGTGACACAGGCCACCAGTCCTCATTCTAGCCTTCTTTCAATGAGTGCAGGCCCAGAGCCCTTCCTAATGTTTCCACACATCCCCCTCCTGACTGTGTGCTTCATCTGGCAGAAGCCAGGGTTAGGTGTGGCCCGCCCTACCCTGGCAAGCACTCAACCACCCTGATTGTTGGCAGGGTGTGCACACATCAGGGAGGGGCATGAGACTTCATTTTGAGATGCTGCTCCCATGGTGGTGACCTCTTAAGGGAAGCAACATGTCAGAGGCTTTTCCTCCAGGATCTCTAGATCTTTCCTCTAAGGTTTGGATTCTTAGGTCAGATCCATCAGGACACAGGACAATATGTGGATGCCTCCATGTTTGCTGGAAATTTCTGCACAGGGAGAGCAGGGAGGGTCCTGGCCTCAGGAAAGGTGCTTATTGTTGGCCCCAAACACCCCACTGCAGGGCAAGAGGGCAGAACCTGGGTAGGTTTCTGCATGACCCAAGAAAAGACTGGGCCAAACTGAGTGAAGGCCTGCACCACAACTTGCTGGGTCCTTCAAAACTGTCAAGGTCAGTACAGACTAAATGGTTGCTGCAGAGCAAAGGAGGCTGCAGGACGGTGCCCAGGCATGGTCTTCAAGAGACTTTGCCACAAGAAGGACATCAGGACAATTTGAATAAGGAGAGCATGCTAGATATATGTATGTGTTGTGTTGATTCCTGATTTTCAAAATTGCATTGTGGTTATGTATAAAGAGGCTCTTGTTTTAGGAAATACACGCTGAAGAGTTTACTCTCAAAGGGCTCAGAAAATGAAAAGCATATATACACTCACACATGCATGTTTCACAATATTAGGCAAGTGCCACCATATTACGGTGAGGAATCTGGGTGAAGGATCTACAGGGATTCTAACTGCTGTCTTAGCAAATGCTTTGTAAGTCCTAAGTCGATCAAAACAAAAAATTAAAAATAAAATAGAAAAGTGCTTTAAAAAATTCAGATGTAGAGCCAGGAGGGCAGCCAGGTGCGGGGTCTGTTTCTCCTTAGCCTGTGGCCATTTAGTTGACAGCTCACAATGAGCTCAGCCCAATAGATGCTGAGGGAGCAGGCCGGGGACCTTCGCCCCAAGGCCACGACAGCGAGGCCGGGCTAGAGCTGGGAAGCAAATGACGACTAGGCGTCGGCCAGGGACAGCCAACCCGGGTTCCAGGCCCTCCCGAAGACCCGGCCGCGAAGGGCGGTGGGCACGGGGAAGACCCGGCCACCGCCCGGGGAGGGCCAGGGCGAGCCTGCGTCGGGATCACTGGGCCCGCGCGGAGAGCCGGGTCGGGTTGGGGCGTCAGGGGCCCCGCCCCGGGGGCCGGCCTGGGCGTTCCGCGCCGCCCCGCCCCAGCCCCCGCCGCCCCAGGCCCCGCCCAGCCTCCGCCGCCCCCTGTCCGCGGCGACCCCGCGACCCCGGCCCGGGACGCACCTGCTTGCGCGCGCGCAGCACGTTCAGCGCGCGGCTGTGGAACGCGTCGTTGTTCGCCTTGTTGTACTCGCTGACGGCGAAGTTGAGCGCGCGCTGCACGCCCTCCTCGTTCACGTCGGCGTCCATCAGGCCGCCCACCAGGCGCGGCGCCTTGCCGGGGCTCGCGCCGGCTGCGGGGCTCGCGGCCAGGGCCAGGGCCAGGGCGGCCAGCAGGAGCAGCGGGGAGCGCAGAGGGCCGGCCATGGTCTGCTCGCGAGTGGACGGGCGCCGGGGCGGGCGGCGAGGGGCCGCCCTTATATCCCCAGCCGCCAGCCTCCGCCCGCCCGGCTCGGGCTCCTCCTCTTCCGCCCCCCCCCTCAGTTCCGCCTCCCGGGCTCGTCCTGCTCGGAGCAGAAGACCTGCCCCACCTCCCTACTCAGGAGGCGGCTCCCGGCGCTCCCAGCCCAGCCCTGCCCCTGGCCCCTGCCCTCCTGCAGAGTCTCTCCACTCCCTGCTAGCTCGCCCCTCCTCCCCGCCCCCCACTCCCTCAAAGATCTGCCCGTCTCTCCCCTCCCTTCGTCTAGGCGATCTTCCCCTGCCCCAGTCCCTTGCTTCCAACCCTGCCACTACCACAGTCGGGAAAGTCCTCCCTTCCTCCTCATAGTCCTTTTCCTACCCGCTGACCACCCCCTCCTGCGCCCCGGCCCCACTCCACCGGCTCCGCGCCTCCTCAGAGGTGTCACCCTTCTTGGAACCTGCAAAGTTTGCCATCCCGGAACTTTGTATTCTCTTAAAAGGGAAAAACAGGTCTCCATTCCTAGGGTTGTCTGCATAAGTGAGCAATTCGCAGAGGCTAAGGAAAAACCCCAACTGCTTGGTGTTCTGGGGAACTTCTTTACCAAAGGGGAACTTCTTTACAAAGAGAAATTAATTCGTTAACCTTTATGTGGGAAAACGTCATCATGGGATACCCATTTTCACAATTCATTTATCCAACCTATAAACCTATTTCAGGTTTCTCCCTGGGCCAGGCGGTAGGGTGTGGGGTGTGTATGTTGAAGCAGCTGGGGCAGGTGAGCCACGGATTTGAAGTAGAGTGGCTGCCAGGTGGATGTGTAATTTTAAGTAAGTTTAATAGTATTTTTTATTTAACTCAATATAGCTAAAATGTTTTTCACTACATGCAGATAGTTGTTTATAGATACTTTACATTCTTGTGTGTGTGCATACTGAATATTTGTGAGAGAGAGTGTCAATTTGGATTAATGTCAATTTCAACCGCCCTGTTGTCAAGTGTGGCCTTTGACTGTGGCTTAGAATAACCCAGCTTTAGGGTCTGTGTGTCAGACGGGGCAGTGATCAGTAATTGAGATCAAGGAACACAAGGTGTTTTGTTGCAAGTGACATGGAAGAGGTTATGGAGACGGTACCACTGGGCATGGCCAAGGAGGAGGGCTTTTTGAGAGTACATTTAGTGTGAGATCTAAAGGATAAGGAGTCCTAATGAGACCAAGGGAAGAGCTTCAAGCAGAGTGGTGAGTGCAAAGGCCCTGAGGTCAAGCTGTGCTCACTCATTTCAGGAACAGGGAGTCAATGAATGATCTTAAAGCGCAGGAATTTGACCTGTGATTTGGAAGTTGTGTGGATGATAAGCTGTGGGTGTGAGCCAAGGGTAAAGGAATGGAAGGAGACCCCTACCAGACAGTGCAGGGGTGGGGTGGGAGAGAAGCTGAAAGGAGTGAAGGTGAAGGGGTAAGGCAGTTGAGGGAATGAGTGCCTAAGCAATTGGGCTGCTGTTAACTTCTGTCATTAGGGTGTCACATTACTGGCTCCGGTTCTCTGCCTTCTGCTTTGGAAAGCTTACCAGGTTTTTGAAAGATCAACTTGAATGTATTTATAATTTGCATACAATAAAAGGTCCCATTTTATGTGTCCAGTCTATGGTCTATGGAATTTTACAAATGTATACCTTTGTGTTACCACTCCATCAGGATTTCCATTACCCTGAAAGTTTCCTTGTGCCCTTACAGTTAATCTCCATGCTGCCACTTGGCATACAGACAAATGGATCTGTAGATGTGTTTGTTTTTTTTTTTTTTTTTGCCAGTTTTTGAACATCTCATAAATGGAATCATGCAGTGTGATTGCATGTGTGTCTTGGTTCTCTCATTCAGCTTTATTTTGAGCTACCCCTCTGTTTATTTCTAGTTGTTAATCCTCTTTCTTCCCACACTGAGAGAGCATGGTGAGCTGTGGGCTGGGCTGGAGTAAGGCCTGGGAGTGGAGAGGGAGAAAGGGCATTCTGATCAGATATCAGGCTGAGTTTCTTCTCTTACCCCTGCCTCCATCCCTGAAGGTGAGGGGTTGTGAATGACCTGTGATGAGGGTGGCAGACTTTTCCAGAAACTTGGGGAAGCCTCTGGGCTCTTGAAGGGCACTTAAAAGCACTTTCCTGGGAGTTGTGTAGTTGATGGTCAGTCACCATCAGCCCAGACCCACTGTGGGTGGCCTAAGGATTGCAGCAGCAGGAATCCGGCATTTTGGAACAATATTCAGGACACGTCCTCTTGTTTTGTTAGAAGATGTGGCGTGTGGAACTCTCTGGACTCCTCTCCCGTCTCTAGCTGCCGCAGTTCCGCTCCTGCATGTGGTGAAGTAGACTTGCTGCTGCTGGGAAGGAGCAAGGAGGAGAAAGGCTGCTGTGAATTGGGGAGAAGGAACCAAAGCCACTGAAGTAGATGGTTCTCCTGGTCTGGTTCTCTTTTATGACTTTAGCACTTTGGCCTGTGGGACAACCTGTTTTGAGAGACTGTGGCAGCCACCGTCCTAACCTTGGGTGTATTCTGCTTGGATGGTATATTTTGGCTCTCCTTCTCTTCCAGCTGTCTGGTCTCTGCCCAAATCTTGATTATGTTTCTTCCTGGGAGGTGCCTTGGATTCATTCTCCTGGCAGTTCTGTTTCTGGCCCTTGGCTGTTCTTTGGGTCCTGCCTGTTTGGCTGAACTTCAGCCCACAAGTTGATGGGTGACTTAGGAGTCTGTATTTTTTTTTTTTTTTAAGATTTATTTATTTATTTATATAAGCACTGGGTACAGTCAGAGGCGCGGGAGGGTGAGAGAATTCACCAGAGCCAGAGCGGGGAGCAGAACAGGCAGAAGGACTGAAGCACACTGCTGAGGGGAGCAGTGGGTGGCAGGAGAGGTCTGCGCACCATGTGGGACCTTCACCTGGCGGCTGGGGATCGAACTGGTGCTGCAGAGGCTGAGGGCAGCTTCGCAACCCAGCGCTCAACCGCTGCACCACTGGGAGGCCCCAGGAGTCTGTATTTTGAAATCCTTCTCTCTTGTACTTATTTCCACTCTCTTTTTTCCTTGAAACTGTCAGTGATTAAAATCTTTGTCCGCACTAGAGTTTGATTACTTTGCTTTGATGAGTGCAGGTTGTACCAGCCCGTAGAATGGGCAACATGGGTTTTGTCCTTCTAACAGTTTGGGGGTCCCTGGAAACCCCTCGGTTTCACCAGGTAATAGCTCAGTGTTAGGGTGTGAGACCCTAACCCAATATCCAGTTACAACCATCAGGGTACATACATTTTCCTTTCTCTCTTCTAGGTTCTTGGTTTGTATAACAATTCAGTTGACACAGGACATATTAATAGGAGAAAAAGTTAGTTTCATTTATATGGGAGTCCCAATAAAGCATGAGACTCAAAGGCAGTCAGGTTTCTGTGACAACCTGAGCTAAGGAAAGGCATAGGGACCTGGGACTTCAATGGGGAGGAAGACAAGTCACAGGAAGGTAAGAAGGACAGAGGCTTGGTAATCAGATAAATCTTTCAGAGAAAAAGTTTTCTTTTGTAATAGCTCTTTCTTATAGGCCCTGTATCTAAATTCTTTTAGGTAGTTATGGGAGAAGTAAAAGTTTTTCCTAAGTCTGCTGGGTCTTGATTGCTCAGCTCAAAATAATCTGACAAAGTCCACATTTTTAGGGTGACATATTCCGCTCCCCTTCACTATCTAATTCCATTGTGATTCAGGAGCCTGTAGAAACACCACAGAGTCCTTCTGGATACACCCAGGTGCAATAGGAAAGTTTTTGCAGCAGGGGAAGGAGAGCTTCAGTGCTATTCAGAGCCGGGAAAGAGAGGGCTGCCCTTGCAGATATTTCTGAGCAGAGTGATTATTTCCCTGGACAGGTGGGACTCCAGTCTTATAAGGGTATACCATGCAGAAGGTAAGCGAAGTGTAAGGAATCCTCCCATCTGCAGTACAGTCTGATAAAAAGTGGGTTAGGAGAATGTTGGACAATTACTCCAGCTGTTTGAATGACTTGGGGCAAATGTAACAAATCTGGAGAGGTGGGTTACTTTTTTTTTTTTTTTAAGATTTATTTATTTTTATGCAAGATCTGGGGTACAGGCCAGAGGTGCAGGAGGGTGAGAGGATTCACCAGAGACAGAGTGGGGAACAGAACAGGCAGATTGCTGAGGGGAGCAGTGGCCGTGACAGGAGAGGTCTGCGTGCCATGTGGGATTCTTGCTAGTTGGGATCAAACCTGCACTGCAGAGGCTGCTGGACAGCTTCACAGCGCGGCGCTCAACCCCCGCTGCGCCACTGGGGAGGCCCAGGTGGGTTACTTTGGACCATAGAGTCTGGGGGTTGGAGCCAGCAACGATGAACAAGCTTCAGTCACCAGCAGCCCACGCCCTGATTTCTGTACCCCACAGCTTCAAGGATAAGATAATAGGGAGAAGTCAAGATTGAGGCCTGGGGTCTTCTTCCCATCCTCACTCCCAGCTCAGGGAGACATGGGGGTGCTTTACATCATGTGCCATGTTGGTAAAGCATTTAGGGCTCTGCTGGGGATCAACACCATACCATTATAAAACTATGATATTTGTGGGAAAGCCTATTGACAGTCCCCTAAGAATAGGCTGACTACAGTGTTTAATACCTGTTTTGTACTTACTGATGGAAGGAGAATTCTTCTGGAAACTTTTGCTCAGGGTCCCACATGTAAACAGTCTGTATTTCTTTACAGACAAATGTCCATTTATTTTCACAAACAACACTTAACCCAAGCAGCTCCTATGGCATCTGAAGCACCGCAGCCAAGGTGGAGGGAGCACAGGAGCGGATGTACAGGAACATGGCAGTTGGCTTGTGCAGCCGGAGGCTTGGTTTGTTTCTCTGGACCTCTGACCTGGCCGTGAGGTAAACAGGATGGGTGTGAGTCCAGTTGAGCAATTCCCTTGGCATCTCTGGATGGTTAGTTTCCTTTCCCCAGTCTACATTGTGGT